CGGCCCCCCTCCAAAAACCGGGATCCTCCCCAAAAAATGGGATTCCCTCAGGGATGGCGGCCTCGCCTCAGAGAATGCGATCCCCCTCAGAGAGTAGCAGCAAAACCCCCCCAAAAACCGGGATCCTCCCCCAAAAATGGGATCCCCTCAGGGGTCGGGGTCCCCCTCAAAAACCCAGGATCCTCTCAGGGATTGGGATCCCCCCCCAACAAAAACCGGGATCCTCCCCAAAAAGTGGGATCCCTTCAGGGATCGGGACCCTCCCCAAAAAACGGGAATTCCCTAAAAACTGGGATCCCCTCAGGGATGGGGACCCTCAAAAACCGGGATCCCCTCAGAGATCGGGACCTCCCCCATAAAAACCAGGAATTCCCCAAAAACTGAGACCCCTCCCTCAGAAACCGAGGGCCCTCCCCATCACCCCACGTCACTTCCGGTCACTCCCACATGACCCTTGACCCCCCCAATGACCACTTGGGGACCCTTTGGTGACCCCCAGTGACCACTGAGCCCTCCCAGGCCACACCAGTGACCACTGGGTGACCCCTGGGTGACCCTGAGTGACCACTGGGTGACCCCTGACCCATGGGTGACCCCTGGGTGACCCCTGGGTGACCCCTGGGTGACCCCGAGTGACCGCTGTCCCTCCCCCAGGCCGCCCTCGGGGGTCTCCTCGGTGTCACCAGCGCCCGCCTGGGCTCCATGAAGACGCGGTGAGTGACAGCTCCGCCGGCCAATCGCAGCGCGGGACCCGCCCCTCCTACCTCCTGATTGGATGCTGCTGCAGGATGGGCGGGGCTGAGAATCAGCCAATGGAAACACGGGGTGGGGGTGTGGTCGGCTTGGCAGCCAATGAGAATTGTTCTCTGGTGTGGCTGGGCTGCCATTGGACGTGCAGGAGCCAGTCAGGGCAGGTTTTACTCCTGGGGACGGGGGAACCAATCAGACGAGGGTACGGCTCGTAAACCCATTTTGATTGGCTCAGGCCTTGTGGGTGGGGCTCTGAGCAGCCAATCAGATGCTTCCTTTGTCGCATAACTAATTATGGTGGGTGGGGCTTGTCTGTGATTGGCGGCTGGGTGTGGGGTGGGCGTGGCTTCATCCCACCCAATGAGATTCGTCTCGTGAGCCACACCCTGCTCTAGATCTTCCTTATACGGAAAAAGGGGTGGGGTCTGAAGATCCCAGCAGCCAATCACGGGTGGGGCGGGGTTGTGGGTGTGTCCCGGCTCAGCCAATGGCGTTGCAGGTACGAGGGGCTGTGCCTGCTGTCCCTGCTGGTCACTGAGAGCCCGACCGAGGCCTTCCAGCAGCACTGCCTGGGCTGGCTGAGAATGCTGCAGCACCTGCTGCAGGTGAGCACCCGGACAGCACACCTGGACACACCTGGGACACACCTGGGCACACCTGGGTACAGCTGGGATACACCTGGGCACACCTGGGACACACCTGGGTACTGCTAGGATACACCTGGGACACACCTGGGCACACCTGGGTACAGCTGGGATACACCTGGGCACACCTGGGACACACCTGGGCACACCTGGGCACACCTGGGTACTGCTAGGATACACCTGGGGCACACCTGGGTACATCTGGGTACACCTAGGATACACCTGAGCACGTCTGGACACACCTGGGCGTACCTGGGATACACCTGAGGCACACCTGGACACACCTGGGCACACCTGGGTACATCTGGGATACACCTGAGCACATCTGGGATACACCTGGGCACATCTGGACACACCTGGGCGTACGTGGGACACACCTGAGGCACACCTGGACACACCTGGGATACACCTGGACACACCTGGGATATATTTGGGTACAGCTGGGGTACACCTGGGGCACATCTGGGATACACCTGGACACACCTGGGTACACCTGGGACACACCTGGACACACCTGGGTACACCTGGACACATCTGGACACACCTGGGTGTTCCCACACCCAATTTTGGGGCAATTTTCCCCCATTTTTTGCCCGATTTTCACCATTTTTTGACCATTTTTTGCCCGACTTTCACCGTTTTTTTGGGGTTTTTTTCGGGGCTGTTTTGATGGGGACAGTCCCGGGGGCGTCTCCGTCATTTGGGGAGGGGTCCTGACGGGTTTTGGGGTCCCCCCCGCAGTCGCAGGACCCCCCTCCCACGGTGGCGCTGGGCGTGGCCGTGCTGCGGGAGCTGCTGCGATTCTCGGCCCAGCTGCCCGAGCTGGCCCGGGACATCGGCACCAACCACATCCCGGGCATCCTCACCTCCCTGCTGGCCCTG